CGTGATTGGTTGTCGGTTGCCGAAAGGAACACTTGATTTTAGTCATGGCGGGTAGAATCTGGGGGGGAGATACGCACACACACACACACAGACAAAGACCATCCCACAGATATCACACGCAAAGACACACACACACAGATACAAAGACAACACACGCATACACATAAAGACACACACACACAAAGACACACAGACACAAAGATACACAGACATAAAGACACAAACACACACACACACACACACAAAGACACACGCACACACACGCACACACACACACACAAAGACACACACACACACAAAGAAACACACACACACACACAAAGAACACACACCAGAACACACACACACACACACACAACACACAGACACAGACACACACACACACACACACAAAGACACAAACACACACACGTATATGTATGCATATATATGTACGTCATAACCTATATATCAGAATTCAGAACCGGGCAAAACTAGCCAAAAGTGGCATTGAAAGACTGAGAACCTTAATCGAATTCTGTCCCTCATCAATTTCGGTTTTTAGTTGCTAGGAAAAAGATAAATGAGCTGTTACGAGCCACGTATATGTATGTAAGAGAGGCATTAGCAAAAAAATGTAAATAGAAAAAAAAAAAAAAAAAAAAAAAAAAAAAAAAAAAAAAAAAAAATATATATTATATATATATATATATTATATATATATATATATATATATATATATATATTATATTATATATATAAATGAACAAACATAGCAACAGCAACAGCAATAGGAAATCAGTTTTACAGTATTCTGTCATAAAAAATTCACTGGTTTTATCTTTATCTTCTTATCTCTTTGTCCCGTTTATTTTCATTCAATAAATGTGATGAAAGTGGTTTAATTAGGCTATTTATAAAGCTAAATTGGCGAAGGTGATAATTTCCGCTGTCAAATTTGATATAAAGGTGATACAAGTAACAGTGACTGTGATAATGAACACGATAATTATAAGGGTGTATTATGATGCATAATTATAAGTATAATTATAAGGGTGTATTATGATGCATAATTATAAGTATACTTATGAATGGTATAATTATAAGGATGTATTATGATGCATATTGTAAGTATAATTATATTATTATGATGCATAATTATAAGTATATTTATAAGTACATAATTATATATAGGTGTATTATGATGCATAATTAAGTATAATTATAAGGGTGTATTATGAATGCTTACTTAAAAGGATGTATTATGATTGCATAATTTAAGTAAGGCATAACCTGTATTGATCATAATTGTAAGTATATTATAAAGATGCATAATTATATATACATAATGCATAATTATAAGTATACTTATAAGGGTGTATTATGTAATTGTAAGGGGTGTGATTAGTATAAGTTATAAGGGTTTTATGATGCATAATTGTAAGTATAATTATAAGGATGTATTATGATGCATAATTATAAGTATAATTATAGGATGATAAAATTGTAAGTTTAATTTATAAGGATGTATTATGTGCATAATTGAAGTATAATTATAAAGATGTATTATGATGCATAATTATAAGTATAATTTATTTTTTAAATTTATATATATGCCATATTATAAGATGCATAATTATAAGTATTAATTATAAGGGTGTATTATTGATCATAATTATAAGTATACTTTATGTATTATGATGGTGTTATTATTGATGTATTATGATGCATAATTATAAGTGTATTAATTATAAGAACATATTATGATGCATAATTATAAGTATATATTATAAGATTATGATGCATAATTGTAAGTATAATTATAAAAGATGTTATTATGATGCATAATTATAAGTATAATTATTAAGAACATTATTATGAAGTATGAATTATAGGATTATAATGGGTGTATTATGACTGATAATTGTAAGTATAATTATAAAGATGTATTATGATGCATAATTATAAGTATAATTATAAGAACATTTATGATGCATAATTATAAGTATAATTATAAGAACATATTATGATGCAATTGTAATGATAGAAGCACGAATAATGATAACACTAGTTAATAAAATGGTGATATTATATTTACGAGGGTAGACTAACATAAAACAAAAAAATAGCAAAAAAAAAATAAAAAATAAAAAAATAATATAAATAATATAAAAAATATAAATAATATAAAAAATTAATAAAAAAATAATGATAATATAAATAATAAATTATAAATAAATAATATAAAAAATAAATAATATAGAAAATAAAATAAAACAAAAAAATAGCAAAAAAAAAAAAGGCCTAAATAGATTTATTTTTTTCTACGAGATCAATTAAATTCTTATTATTGCTTAAGTGAATACTAGAAATAAGAAAATAGCGATAGATATTAAGATAAAGAAAGAAAATCGGATAAAGAAAATAGAAAATAATTCTATACTATCTTGATTCCATATAGAACTATCATTACTACTATAATATATATATAAATAATATATAAATATAATGCCATGGAAAT